TTTACTGATAGTTAAAACTATTAGGTAGGTACATATTCATTATAAATTACCCGACTTTTGTACCATAGTTATTATTGTATATTTATGTTCACTAAATTTTGTTAAAATGTGTATATTTCACAGGATACAACATAAATAATATTTTTTAATTGGGATAGCCTATACTTTATATTTTATACAATTTTAAGTATGATCTTTTTTTGATTAATTAAACCTCAAATATCTTAGTTTAGGTAAGCATTTAACACATTTTCTTCCACATTGTAAATTATTTTATTATGTAATGTCACTCACAAACAATGGTTGTGATTTTACATTAAAAATGTTAACGTTTCCATATTTACGGTAACTTGCTTAATTTAGATATTCGACGTTTAATTACTCGAGAATGGAAGGTATAAGATAAGGCTATTGTATATTTTTGAAATTAGGAAATAAAAATATTTTAAAAAATTAATAACATACAGGGCAACCCGTAAAAGTATAATTTTTTTGTTGTATTCCGTAAAATCTGAATGCTACTGTGTTTTTGATGGTATTAAAAAAAAATCATCACAAAAGTTTTATTTATAGCATTTTTTGAATATGCAATAAAAGGTGCCTAATTTATAAAAAAATAAACCAATTACATAATCTTAAATAAATTTGTTGAAATTAAATTCAATTGCAAAAATTTCACTTCTACTTCTCCCGTTGCTACAAAGAAAAATATTTGGGTGTTTGGATATGGGATTTGATGGTAAATATTGATTCTAAAATAAGTTTTTCAAGTAACATTGTTTTCCCGTTTTTAAAAATATGGGTTACTGTTAAGTCAAATTCATATTTTTTTGACATAAGGCATGTTTATACAGCATTAAAATAGTATATTATGCAACGATCATGTAATGATGGTTATTAATACACGAGCATTAACCGGGATACGAAACGAGCCAAAGGCGAGTTTCGTATGGTTTATGCGAGTGTTTTAATAACCATTACATGAGAGTTGCATACGCTATTTTTTCTACACCCGATAAATAATCAAGACCTATAAATATTATATTTATATTGGTATTGAACACAATAACAGTAATTACTCGTATTTCTATAAAAAATTCTACAAAATTGTAATTAATGGTATTACTTCAGGTATTGGTATTTCCCTAGATTTTTGCGGTAAAATATTTTGTACTGTATTTTCTGCTTTCTCCGATATGTGTGGAGGAGTCTTCTATATCGCTAATATCAGACATTTTAATATTATAATTATCGAAGTTTAGCTACCTACGAAAATTTAATACGTTTTGACAACTAAAATAATTACATAGGAACCTAGGACAAACGTCAAACAGCATGCTTGATTGAAAAATTGTAGGTTTCTATTGATTAAAAATCTGTATCGTAATGAAAAATCTGTATCATAATGGGTATCATTATGAAACGGATTATGGGCATATAAGTGCATTATTATAATACGGGTGTAGAAAAACTTATTATTGATCAATATAATAATAATACTCTCCCTAATTCACCCCCTTACGAGTGAATTTTAACCCCAAAAGCTGAGCTTGTGCGGGGAAAGGGACGGATATTATTATTATTAGCCGTGGCGCTCCGGGGCGACTTAAAGATGATTGATGGTGTCCTTTGACTACCCGGAAAACCTCACCCACCATCATCGAGACGGTAATGCATGGCGATTTTTATAATCTGCATGTCATATCAACAGAAATTGAATTTCTATTAATACGGCACACATCAAATCCTACACCGAACCATGCAACTTAATTAAAAATCCACATGGTCTGGTGTGGGATTCGAAGCCCGGCAGTCTCTGACCATAAACTTGCCTATAACTGAATATAAGCGCGTTAGACTGCTGCACCACTGACCCGATAATTAATTATCACAAATTGTTTTCGGTTTTAGGTGATAGAAAATTGTATTATTCTCATCATATTCCTGACAATGTAATTCATTCTTTGTTTCCTGTTTCCTAGGTGATTGTTGGTTGTCATTGTGCGTTTACAGGTAGTATCAAGTATTGTGAATTAGTTGTTTATTTTTTATTGTTATGGGATTATTTTACTGTATATAAGTGCATTATACAGTATGAAATAAATTTGAAGATACTTAAAGTAATTGCAACAATGGCCGCTTTAGGCAGAATTTCTGGAGGGGAACATTGCCATTAGAAATACGCTTTTTAGCATATTTTTTTTTATTAAAAGGTAAGAATTTTAATCTCGGGACTACCATGAAGACCATGGCTTTCCATGGTTCTTGATATGCAATTATAAAAATATTAAATAATATTATGTGGTAGTCGAATTATTAAACTATCTCGTTTGTTTTTTTTTTTTTAACAATGTATTTTGAATATTTATTATCAACTGTGCATTAGAGCAGCCATTCTTAAACTGTCTTCTGCAGAATTCTGGGGTTTCGTGAAGATTCTTCAAGGGTTCCGCGAAATTTACCTGTCTTTTTTCATAGCATTCAAGAAATCATAAACTTAAAGAAAGCAATAAAAATTAACGACTCGTCAAAATTAAAAAAACAGAATTAACTCTGGGTTTCATCCATTTAGCTACTAAAGCTGGATAAAATAATTGTTATTTTGATTGCAAATAATTCAGTAAGAGAAAGTTACATTAAAATCATATTATTGAAACAAATTATTTCTCAAACAGATTAAGAAACGCTGCATTAGAGTAGCAAATTTATTATTATTTAAAAACAATAAAATTTATTAAGCATTTAGGTTTCGTTTGCAAGTGTTATGCTTTAAATAATACATAATGAAACATTTTCATGTTTTATTAATTTATTAAAATACTCCGTACATCTGGTACTTGGATTTTCGTAGTTTAAAGTTAGTTTGTTATAATTAAACCAATTAGTAATATTTTGAAAATCTTTTTCAACATTTTTTTGAAAAACTCAATATTTTACCCACTGACGGTTGTATCATAAGATTATTTATGTAAATGGTAAAAAGTATTGGTCCTAGCACAGTTCCCTGAGGAAATCCGTATGTAATTATTTTTGGAGAACTTATTGTACCCTCAATATTTATCACCTGCTCCCTACCTGAAACGTAACTCTCAAATAATGTTAATGCATTGCAACGAATTCCAATTTGATTCAGTTTTTCTAGTAATTTCCTGTGACATACTGTGTCAATGGCTTTAGAAAGATTGACAAAAATACAAAGTGATACAATACAGATTGATCTAAAGAGGAATATATTTCTGAAGTTAATGCATGTATAGCATCTTGTGTCGATCTCCCCTCCCTAAATCCATACTGGTTATTAAAAAGAACATTAAATTTATATAGAAATTCTATTATACGCACTTTGATAGCTTTCTCAACAATTTTGGCAACTTTATATATTAAAGAAATCGGTCGAAAATCTCCTAGTTGAATAACGGTTTAATTAACACGGTTTTGAATATTTTAGGAAAACATCCCGTGTAAAATGTATTATTTATGAGATGTACTAAAGGTGACACGATTTGATTACATACGTTTTTCAAAAGTAGGATGTTTGTTTATTTACATTACAATTTTGTACTTGTGATTATTTAACTGTTTTTAGATAATATTCTCATTATAATAGTGTTTTTGAGTTTTATTTAGTGTTAATTTAAGTTTAGTTTCCATACTTTCATCATAAATATAATATTTTATCATGTTTTTATGACTTAATTTAGTGGAAATCTCCACCTATTGGTTGTTACACAAACATCTAGAAATATTTATTTACTAAACACAAGACATGTTTTATTATGTGGTTTAAAGGTCATTTCAGGTATCAAACATTTATTATTGATGGGCCTAATTAAAAAATCTTACTCTTCTTATTCTTATATTATGAAGTGAATAGTACTTTGTATATGTGCAAATGGTAATTAAACTGTCATAAATCAGATTCAGATTGCAGTTTAATTCTAGACAAAATTTGGAAAATCTCAATATTGTGAATTTGTAGATATCCATTTATCATAAGAAACAAAATTTTACGACTTAGGCTTAGAAAATAATGAACATTTCAGTTTTGATTTTGATCATTACCATATAGATTGCAATTTGCTGGGGGCTTATTGCAAATTTAATTTTTAATATAAACATTATCACATACAATAAGAAATAAACAAATTTAAAGCTTATAAGTAAGAAAATATTCGTATTATAATTGATACAAATTAAAATATAAACAGTGAACATGAACGACAATGGTGCCAAATGATGAATTAATTTTAAAACAAAATTGATAAATGAACTGAAATTAAAAAAATAAATATATAATAATATCTAAATCAGTTTTATAAAAACTCTATAAATAAATGTAGAGTATTATTACATATTGATAGACAGCTAGACACAAATTTTGCACTTCTTCAAGGGCTAAAAATCCGACGATGTAGCGCAATTCCGCTACTTCTGGCACACTAAACAATGTCCTACTTCTAGACACCTTCCACAAATTACCTCCAGAGGGTGTATCAGTTAGCTTGAATCGCGAATACTCGAGGGAGCACTAGTGCAAGGGCCATTTTGATGAAGTTCTGTACTTGTTCTAACAGATATCGCGACAGGATTACCTCTAATGAAACGTACATAAGGTTATTCTACTAGTCTATCTAAATACAATTATATCACTAATATCTTTAAGACTATTACCGACTTTGTTTAAAAAGTAGTTAGATTGTTAACATATAATAAAAAATTGTACACCTTAAGGTAGAACCATAAGGAATCCCCATTGTCAATTAAGAAACTGAATATCATAATCCATCATGTTTTATCACTACCAGTTTCCTTTTGTTTTGTCTTGATTAAACCTGATATAGATATTTGTTTCAATCAACTAGGTACTTAAAGGGTGGTATAAGGTCTTTAGGAAAAATTAAAATGATAGATCCTGCCGACGCGCAAAAAACTGCTGTTAGGAAAACCCACTTTTAATATGAGGAAAACATATTGCAATTGCATATTTTTTAAATACTAACCCAATATAACTTAAAAGCTCTTCTGTAGCACCAATTGCATTAAAAACTTGACTATCTTTGGGTAATATGTCTCCATTTATAGTTTTAGATGTTCCATTGTCTCCTTGTCTACTAAATGTTTCTGAAATTTTAGAAAGAGGTTCATCGTTCTTGGGTGACGTATTTCTAAAAGAGTTAAAAATCAGAATATTATAAATAATATTTGGTTACTTACTCTTTTTGTTGAGTATATGTTCTAACATAACTTAATTGACGAAATCGTAAAATTTTTCTAAAAATCATATCAACTTATTATTAAAAATACCATAACAATAATCACAACAATAATATTATAACCTATAGCACAGATTTAACATCTTCTTTTCAATAATTATCGGTCTCAGCTACCAGGGCTATTCGACCTCTTGTAATTGTTTTGAGTACGTATTTATAAACAGAACTCAACTGAGTCGAACTAATCCTTCCTCCATGGTCGGACTTGGGTAAGGGCCGTTTGCACAGGTTATACAAGACCCGTATTTATAAACAAAACTCAGCTCAGCGTTGGGTTTACTAGTACAATTGTACTAGATTCAGTACATTTCAACCATTCATAAATGCTAGTACCACAAAAGATAAAAGCGTTGTATGAAGATTATATAGTAGGGTAACCTTATGGACTTATCATTGGAGGACGATGGATATAGAATGTAGATGGCGACACTGTACTTATATCCAAGTCAGGTCTTTAGGTCATGTCTGTGCTTGAGTATGAATTATAATTTAAAATCTTCTTTTTCATTTATACTTGTCTTCGGTAATGTATTTGTATAGTTAATATTTACTATTGCAAATTATTAGAAAAGGGTATTTGAAGGTCACATAAAATACCAAAAAAATCAATATAATAAAATAAACCAGTTTTTGTTTGAAAAAGATTGAATGATTTAAGATTGGATGGAATTTTACTATAATAGGGGAACATTTTTTTTTCTATATTGTGGTTTGATTTTGGATTGATCGCTGATGGTTAATTAAAACTTGAATTTTACGCTGTTTATTTTTATTCACTTTTATATAATTGGTATCAAATTAAGAATAGGACATGAACAACTGAAGATTATTGTTCAAAATGAGTCGAATAGACAAAAATAAAAAATGCTTGGATAAAATATTCTGAAATACAGGATGTTAAGTTGAAAATTAAAAAATTAATAATGGGTAAATATAAAGGTGTAGGTAGTTATAATTTTTTTATTCAATATAATTTTACTAAAATCGGCACTGACAAAATTTAACTAACAGTTTTTTTTGCTGTTAGGTAAACTTATAATACCAAACACTTTTAGTGAAATTATACTAAGTAATAAAAACATTTAAGCCACTAATTTTCAGTTTTCAACTTTTATCACCATTTGAAAACGAATCGAGTACCAATTTATGATAGCACATTTAGGAGTATTATTTTCGAAAGGCAAAATTACAAATTTTTCATTTATTTTTTTGTACATGGAAATACTTTCCTGCATGCCCTACAGTGATGAAGCGCTCAACGAAGGCGTCTTAAAAAATAAATTATAGAAAATGCGAAAGTTACATATTTGATTAGATAATTAACATTGACATAAACCTTCATTGCTCAGGACGTTAAGTGCTCAACTTTGGATTTCATAAAGTTCAGTTACCAACTACTACTATTTTTTCTGAACTGTTATCAAAATACTATAAAATTTAGCAGAAACATTGCATTAATTGTATTTTTTATATTTTTTCCAAAATAAAAAAGAATGTTTTTATCTGTAATTGAATCCGGGAAATCCAAACTTGAACGCTTAACAACTTAAGTCTTGAAGGCACTTATATCAAGTTAATTATCTAATCAAATATATGACGTGGCTTTTAAAAATACCACTGACGTCATCTATACGGATATGACAAAAGCATTTGATAGACTTGATCATAATATTATGATACAGAAACTCTGCGCATTTGGTCTTTCTAATAGTTTGATCACACTTTTTCAATCGTATCTCTCTCAAAGAACACAATATGTTCAATTAAATGGATTCAAGTCTAACAAATATTGCGCCACCTCTGGTATACCGCAAGGTTCAAATTTGGGTCCGCTGTTATTTAATATTTTTATCAACGACATTGGTGACGCTATAAATGTTGATTATTTGCTGTATGCTGATGACTTAAAAATATATTCAGCTATTGAAAATATTTCTGACTGTGAACAGTTGTCGGAAAATTTGAACAAAGTTGTTGAATGGTGCAACAAAAATGGTCTTACACTGAATCCCGTCAAATGTAACGTAATGTCATACACATTAAAAGCGCATCCAATTAAATTCGATTATGTCCTTGATGGACGTTTGCTTTCTAAACCCAACAATTTTATGGATTTAGGGGTTACATTTGACCCAGTATTGTCGTTTAAATACCACATAGATAACATCTCAACAGCTGCAAATCGTATGTATGGATTCATAGTACGAGTGGGCCGTGATTTTAAAAACACAGATACTATTAAATCATTGTATTTCTCATTTGTTCGATCTAAACTCGAATATGCCTCGTTTATTTGGGATCCTTATTATCAAATACACATTTGTCGGATAGAGTCCACACAAAGGCGTTTCCTCAAATACTTAAGTTTTCGGGCAGACCAAATTTATCCACCCATTGGTATTACTCAAAATGCTTTACTGACTAGACACAGATTGACAAGTCTCGACGTAAGACGAAAGTACTTCTCCATAATTACCCTCTACAAAGTTGTTAATTTTAAAATCAATTGTGAAGCTCTTTTACATATGCTTAATTTTAGAATCCCACGCGCAACCTCTCGAAACACTGAATCATTTTACATAGCGACTCCTCGGACAAACGTTCTGAAGTTTTCACCTGTATATAACATGTGTAATAATTATAATAATATTAGTGAACAGTTGGATATATTTAATTGCAGTGTTAAAAACATAAAAACACATTGTTTAAAATAATTTTGAATTTATTTACTGTAATTTTAGATTAATTATCTATATGCCTTTTGTTAAACTGTTTTCTTTCAAATGTACTCCTGTTCTGTAATTGGGTTTAACCTGTTGAACAATGTATAAATAAATAAATAAATAAATCATTGTGCGCTCCACTGCTGGTGTGTCCATCTTCTACAAGAGAAAAAGAAGGAAACATTTGTAAAGTTGTCTTGCACAAATGTGTACCAAAAATGGGCAACTGGCTCTCATAAGCCTTTTTCGTTTAATCGTCTCATTATTTGAACACTAAACGCCAGCATGAGAAATATATGTTAAAGTTAGTTTTAAGAACTTTTAACATTCAAATAAACAAAAACAATTTATAAATCTATTATTAAAATCCGCGTTGGAACAAAACATGTAAAATTGTTGAATTTGAAAGATATTCTAAAAAGGGAAAGGACTTCGGTCGAGAGCCTATTGGACAGAATATTCAGTTCAATCAATGACAATTATTTATATTACTATTCTTAAATATTTTGATGTTTAATTTACTTGTAAATTTATGTGTGAATATATTTATAAATTACACTGGTCACCAGTGATTTTGTGGACGGGGGTTTAAGAGCGTTTTTGGGCGATCGTTTTACCGATTTCAAATCGCTTCTCCAGCCTATAAATCTTCAATTTAAAAAGAATAAAATAAAGTAGTTCTGTCTAAAACTAAAATAAATTTGCTATCTCGATTATTTCCAAACTTTTCCTTAACGCCTTAGTTATAAGTTTCATATTACATTTTTTTTATTTGCTATTTCTGTGGAATCATTAATTTTCACTTGCGTTCTGGTTCTTCTAAAAAAGCGAAATGTTACTCACGTTTTGCTTGATTGGCTTTAATTTTTTAGATAGTCAACCAGTCGAAATAAAAAAAATTCAAAAAATAATAAGACATATTATTTAATCATTTTGTCTGAGCCCCGGTCTGAGCTAACTAAAAGGCTGTATTCTATAAACAATTAAAAATAGTGATTGTTTTTTGAACTACTTAAAACATTTTCACTCAAACTGCGGACGTGATTCAATTTAAAAATACTTTCCAGAATAAAACCACGTGTTACAGTTTTGACTTTATTACTAAACAGCCCAGTCATATACAAAAACATTAATCCAAAATCTAAATTAAAAGTACCTAATAATAAATTGCCTATCTACTAGGGTCGGTAACCAAATGTATAAACAGAATGGGCGGATTTTGTTCATACTTAACATTACACTCCGCACTGACACTTAACCTGGATTAAATATAACTATAAATACAAATATTTACAAACAAATATACTTTTCCAAACAGTGATAATTTATAAAAAAAATGTTTTTTATAAGATTTTCTTTTATGTTCAAAGTTAGGACTTTATAATTATTGTGTCGTTCGTAGAATTCTGTACTAAATAAGAGCACTGATTTTGGAAATAAATTTTCACCATTTTGGCAAGTTGTTGAACCTTGTAACATTGCATAATGAAATATAAAGACTAACTGAATATGTCTGCCACAGATAGACCACTTGTAGGTCTATCGATTTCGTCTTGAGCTATTCCTAAAGAGCGGAGCTATTGAAAACTTCCTTTCAACGTGATTTATTTCAACACTCAGAGCCAGCCGAGAGAACATTTTTTCTTATATTCATGGTCAACAGCCAAGATACATTTGGAAGTCGCTAATATATCCCTGTGACTATTTTTTTTAATTTGTTTTCCAGTGTTGATTGTTGATTGATTTTTCCCTGATTAGTGATTTTCTTGTTCCTTAACTCAATACCTTGCAAACTGTTGATAGCTTTAGTAAAATTTTGTAGCAAAGCTTGTTCAAATTTTGAAAACTATAAAAATATTCAGCTATTTTTATGGTTATAAACTTTTCCAACACTTAGTCCAATTAGAGGTACTTAGGTTACATGCAACATTTTCAGAAGCTTATTCCTTTTTTTGTATTCTACTTGGAACTTTTCAATTTATTTAAAACATTGGACATTGTTATCAGTTGTTATTGTTTATATATTTTGACATAACCGCACATAACCAAAACCAAAGTCCTTAACCACTTTTTATCACCTTAATCCAAAAATTATATTTGTACGGTTTTGTCAACTGGAATAAATTTTCATTATTATGTTTAATTTTTCATATCTTTTATTATGAATTGTTATTTTTAAATAAATAAAGACGTTTTTAACTATAATAGGTAGGTGATAGAGGCCATGTACCTGAACGAAAAGAAGACGTAGATGGCGTATCTGCATAGGATTAAAAATTGACTACTTCATTAAATCGTCACTAGATGCCGCTCGAGATTGCGTCCAACACTTTTTACTGTTGCATTATCCTACTACCTATATAATCTTCATACAACGATAAAAGTGTCTAAATCTAGTACATTTTAAATATTTTGCTGGATCTTCTTGAATAATGCATTCTATGATTTCTAATTTCTATGCTAGACAGTAGACACTTCTGACACTCCCAATCACATACTTATAAT